AGACTGTTGGTGTTAAGGGACCTGGAGTTGCTTACAGTCCCGGAGGCCAGAAACTTTGCTCAAATACAGAAATACTAATTTGTAGAACCTCTATCAGTGAAGTTTTCCCATAAAATAGGTCCCAAGGTCACTATTTCATTACTTTTTTCAGGGGAGTAAATAAAATTGTTGTGTCCCCCCCCCCCCCCCCCACACACACACACAGCTACTCTGTTTCATCGGAGATACCTGCAGGCATCCCAGGGGGCTTAAGAGGGGGGTGAATTCCACAGGCTGTGGCTCCAGTAGGTGTGCACAGGCATGGGCCCTTGGGAGAGCAGGCACACAGCTGGAAACTAACCCTCCCTCGGGGGTTTTAAAAAGTCACCTGGCAACTGTGAGCCTCCCTGCACCCTGAGTTGCTGAAATTTGATATTTCCTGTTACTTGTGGGACATGAAATTGAGGTTAGTCCAATTAAATGCACATCTGTGCTCGGTATACTTTACCCGCCTCAGTGTTATGTAAGCATGAACTTTTGTTTTAGGGTGGGATTCTGATGGTTAGGTATGGGGTGGCCACAGGTACGGCTTAATGAAGCTATGAGACCTGGGGTTGAGTATCCATGTCTGGGATGCCTGTGGCTGCTCTGATTTTATAGATGGGTAAGAGATTAAATTTTCTCATCTCTCTCTCTCTCTGTCTCTCTGCACCCTTCCTCTCTCTGTCTGTCTCTCTCTCCCTACACAAACATGCACCCCCCCACACACACACCTCTCTTACCAGTGAGGTCTAGTGTAATAGTATTTCCAGGTCTGAAAACAGATATTGTGCCAGCAGGGAATTTATCTGATTCGGGTCTCTGTTGGGTCGTTAGGTCGAGATTTCACCCTCTATTTGCCAACACAGAGTAAAACAATATTTCAAATAAACCAAATACTAGTGGCCTTCTTGGCACCTACCTCGTGGTCCCATGAGGCTCAGCAGAGGCAAAGTGAGACTAGCATTAGGCTGTAGTCTCACACTTTGGCAAGAAACGGAACTTGCACAGAAGGTTACAAAGTTTGTTTATCTCACTTCAAGTATTTTATTTTAAATAAATCATCCAAACCAAATTTAATTCTTTTCATTTGGAAAGGGAGAAAGAGAATGTCCCATGTTATTAAAAGACAGCAAAGATTTTCTTAGTTCCTTCAAGTCAGAGATTAAGAGGATTTTTTTTTTTCCTGAAACTTTGTAAGAATTACCATCACCCTTCTGGCCAAAGACTGTCTTACGGTGAAGAGTTCGATAGTTTTCTGCCTCCTTTATTGCTTCTTATTTGCAGAACTGTAAATTACCATGACCACTGACTATTGTAAAGAGGGGCCTATAAAAATTTCCCACACATTAACTTCAAGTTGCCTCTTTGCAAATCCTTTCAGAAGTCTGAGACAACCTCCAAATACGACCAAGACTAACTAAGACCAATCATGGAAAATCTATAGGAGTTTTAGAAATAGGCCGTGCAAGGCCACCACCACTAGAAACAAGCAGACACTCAGTTAGCTCCTAAAGGTAATCAAAATAAATTTCAAGTACCCGAAGCTCTGCACTCAATCCATTTTCTTTACATATGTATGTATGTGTGTTCTTGCCTCCTTGCAGAATAGACTTGGACATATGGACATAACAACTAAATAATTCAAAATACATAATAGTGGGGCATATACAATGAAGTCAGAAATAAAGTTATTATTCAACAACTGAATGCCATTAGAAGTAGGCTGCAAAATATATTTCTAGCTTCTTACTAACAAAAGCAAAGACAGGAACTTTTCATTAATCAAAGTATAATTATCCCTTTATGATTTTTTGCAAGGCTAGAGAGTTAAAATACAGAAACATCTTCTATTAAACCCAGAGATTCTGGTCTCACTTCACTCTTCCTACTGCATCTTGTCAACAGGTGTTGGGAGTAAGTTAGTGCTCCCAGTATAGGAGGGGTTGTCTCTGCAGTCCACCTGCTATTTCCTCTGTCTGGAAGGCCTGTGGTGTTCAACCAGGGGACATTTGGCTGTGTCTGAAGACATTTGTGGTTGTCAAAACCTGGGAGACCAAGGTTGCTACTGGCATTTAGCAGGTAGAGGCCACAAAAGCTAAATACCCAAGCACATAACAAAAAGTCAATTGTCAATAAGACTGAAGCTGAAAATTGTGCAGAAACCTAATGAAGTGTGTGTGTGTGTGTGTGTATGAGAGAGAGAGAGAGAATGAATTTGTGTTTTAATAAGATATAAATCAATAAATCAGTTGGGTTTTTTTTTCTGGCTTTAGAGAACACTAGCCTTACTTTGTTTCAGCCTTGGTTGATTTATTCTAAAAACTCATATATTCAGGAGAGCTTTCATAATTTACAGCAGAGGAAAAAGTGAGCCCTAAGGATTGTTCTGGATCCTGGATATAATGACAAAGGAATTTCAAAATAGGAGGTCTTTAGGCCACATCTCGAGGACATCTGAGTAAGTCTACCCGAATGCGTTATTGAAATGCTGGGCATTGCTTAAAATTGGAAGCAATTTGGAAGAGATTGGAAGTTATCCCATCTCTTAATTCAATCTGAACAAATAAGCCTCGCCAAATAGAATGTGTTTTACAGCAATGATGGAAGAACTGCTGGAGAGCAAGAGAGAGTAAACAGATGGAAAGAACACCGAAGGAAATTGAGAAACAGCCATCTGATGACATAATTTAGATTTGGACAGAGAACCACATGCCTGGGCCCTTCCAGCACAGGCTGACCTGCTAGACGCAGGTGCGGAGTCCACGGCCTCCCGGTGCCCCTCCAGCTGGTGGTTTTCTCCCTTGCCAATTGCTCCCCCCCAGCGATGTGTAACGCGATACAGTATTTAATATGACTGGTTGAAAGTTGGTTCTGTTTTACTGTGTTCATCTTTCTATACTTTTCTCTTCCTAGCCAGTCTTCCAATGGCTAGGAAAGGCTAGCTTATAATGAATAAACCAATAATAAAATTAGCTTTTCTCTCAACTATCTCAATAATCACCTTGATTCTTGCAATAGAATGTCAGATTATTCGATATTTAGGCTAGTCCTGTATGACGTCAGCCCTATGTTTTTATAAAACTGCTCAGCAGGGAGCCTGCCCCGACAATAAGGCGATTGCAGATGTAACCTGTCTACGCCCTGCAAACTGAAAGAGTTAACTAGAAAATGCTCGGAGTTCCTGTGAGGTCTCTCTCTGCTTCAGCTGGGAGACACTTTATGGGGAAATGTAATTTCCATTTCACATAAATTCAGAGGAAAACTACATCAGTGTAGACAAGAAGGAGGAACTAAGCCGAAGGCGTCCTTTGAACCATCCACAAAGTTTCCTCCAAGGGTCTCTGGGAGGATAATTAAATGTAATAGTTTATAAATGTGTTTGGAGATCAACCAGTGGGTTAATCATAGCTAATTCTTCTTCCTGCCTTATTCCTGGTCTCTACTAAGTCATACTTCATTAGCCTCCTTTGAGTTATTTATGTGCTTCATTCTCTTTAAAGGAAAGTTCTTTTATTAAATCTATAATTTAATTTAATTCAACCGGCACTTCTATCCAGTGTGCAATTGTTTCATAGCTCTCTGCCTCTAAAAACAATAATATGCCTAGTAGATAATATGTAATGTAATATACAATGACGCTACATATCTATTGCTCAAAAGCATAATTAATCAAAATTTTAAAAATAACAGAATCGAGGTAACTCTCGGTAATATAAACTCTGATTTTATATAAGCGGAAGACACAAAACTGTCCCCGTGTGAAAGCTGCTTTTAATTGCCATCAAGCCCACCTCTCTAAACCCAAGTGGTTCATAAAATACTTCTCTGATAAATTTCATGCCTTTGGTAATCCTGCTTATCATACATTGGAACTAATTTGAAGCGACATTACTAATACCTATCTTTTAAAGAAACACTTCAGGAAGCTATCTCAAAACCCTGTGAGTTTGAGGAGGACTAAAATGGCAATTTGCTAATAGGTCCAGGCATCTATGGACATGAGGGGGTGATGTGAAAGTTTTGCTATCCCCTGTCTGTATGATAGACAGGGTCTCACGTGGCTTTCAGAGCAGGCCAAGTATAGCAAGAATCTTCAAGATCTCAGATAAAAATACATACATTCATGTGCCATGCATGAATGATGTTTGGGTCCACGACAGACCCCATAGACTAGATGACAGTGATACCATAAGCTTATAATACCATATTTTCACTGCACCTTTTCTGATCTCCATGTTTAGATACACAAATACTCACCGCTGTGTTACAGTTGCCTCTACTATTCAGTACAGGCCCGCGCTGTACAGGTTGGTAGCCCAGGAACTCTAGGCTATGTCCTGATGTGTATTAGGCTATGCCATCTGGGTCCTCGTAAGAACTCTATGATGTTCAGGCAATGCTGAAATCGCCTAAGGACTCATTTCTCAGAATACATTTTCTGTCTAGTTGAGTGACATGATTGTAACAGGGAAACAGAGCCATTATCATGACCTTTTCTTTCCTCTCTGTTAACAGCAACACAGTAACATTGGCTGTGCCCAGGTGAAATAGTGAAGAGGAGGGAGAGAGGAAAGAGGGAGTGCAACTATTTGGTTGTGTAATGAAAGGAGGAAAATCCCTCCTAAATTATGTATAGCGTTTGGTTTTAGTGGCTATGATTCTCTTAGCCACTATGACTGCAAATGCTATTAGCAGTTAAAATGCACATTAAGTTATTTGGTTCCTTCCAAAAGCTAATCAGACCATTTATCTTTTTAATTTCTCAGAGCAACAAATTCTGGTGGAAATATCTATATTGGTCCTAAGGGTGCTGCTGTTAGAGAATTACAATTGCCCTCAAGTGCCCGTAGGGAGGTGAAATGCTCCCGTTCTATACCTAAAGGAATAAAATGTGCAGAAAACTTACACCACTATTTTTCTTGTTGCATTATAAACGCAAAACAACTATTAATAGCACATTTTCAAAGGAGTACACTTACTTTCGGTGCAAATAGGACAGCATCCTTTTCTGTTGAGAATTTTACCCTAATCAAAAGGAAAACAAATAAGTTAGTGTTAAGAAACAGGGTCTGCTAAGGACAAATCTCTTTTTTAAATCTAATACCAGATAAATCAATGAAATCAGTCCAAGCTGTATTTGAACTCAATGCCCAGATGGCAATGATGATGATGAAAATGAAGTTTCAAGTATCAGGTTCGATGGTCAGGCAAAGTCATTCAGAAAGCTTTCCTGTTTTTATCCTCCAAGAAATATAATAGCTAAAGGGCTCATTGGTGTGATTTTTCTCACATGGAGGGAAGATGGAGACAGTCTGGACTCAACCTTTTCACTGATATCCAAATCTAGCCCTCTAGAGACCAAATGTGCACATGTAAAAATGGGAATTGTCTGCCAACCTATCAATCCACGTGAGACCTTCTTTCTGTCTTTGCTTATTGGAAGAGCCCAAACAATAAACTGTAATCCAAGCTGGAGACTCATCCGGTGCTATGGATATAGGCAATATCTTTGCCACAGATCAAATGCAGTCGGAGTTCTTCTTTCAGAAAGTGATATGTTATCCAAGCTAAGTAGTCTAAGCCAACAAAGCTGAGAGTCCCGAAATGCTAATTTTTCATTACCTTTCTGGAAATACAGTGCTATTTCCTATTTTACGTGTCTTTTAATTTTTTTTAAGGAATGACCTTTAAAGGAGGAAGCATATTCTCAGGACCCACATCAGAAAATCAGTTGTCTTATCTTTTTTTCCACAGAGAAAAAAAAAAAAGGATCCAAGAAGATTAACATTTAGGGAGAGCTTGCTATATGACAAATATCCTACTAGATATTTTATTCATGTTACCGAACATCAGGTTAGTTATAAAAACTGAGTGATTTAACACTTATAATACTTTTAATATTTAATGAATTTTATAGATTATTATAAACATGGTTATTAAGATGCACAAGAACCTTATGAGCTGAATATTTCTCTTTTTATAGAAGAAATTTATGTCATAGAACAAAGGAGTGCTGGAACCCAGAATGAAACCCAGTTTTGACCCTAAAAACCATGTTCTTTCCATCGCAAATTTTTATCCTCCTTAGTTCTCTATCTTTAAGAGAACTTAATATTTATAAAGTATCTACTCCACATTACACTGAGTGCTGTGCAGTCCTCATACTTTATTTTATTTAAACTTCACAACAACCCTTCAATGCAGGTGTCCTTTTTCCCTGTTCATAGAGAACTAAGGCAATGGAGGCCACAGAGAGGCTGCCAACACCTGAGTCGGAGCCACACAGAGCTTATGCTGCTCCTCCACTCACTCACTACTGGTCAGGTGCATCAAGAATATGTTTAAGTACGCAGAAAAAAAAATCATATTGACTTAAAAATGCTGGTTAATTATCAAAGAGCCAGAACCCAGGCCTGATTCATTGGCATCAGGCAGGTCTAAAATGGTATAATAAATGTGACAAGGACTTTGCAAAGGACTTATGCTCAGCCCCACTCAGCCCATAGTTTGGGGCATCGCAATGTATTTTCACTGTCTAGAGCTCTGTTGTTGGTTTCTGTTTGGTTTCTCATGACAAAAGAGTTAAGGACAAAGCCACATGAGGTCCGCTCAGGGGCCTGGCATGATGGCCGGGGAGGATAGAGGAGGGCACTCCACTGTAGTGAAGCAAAGCTCCTGAGAGCCAAGGCCCTGCCCAGACATGACTGTCCCTACATCTGGATCTCAGCAGAAATTGCCGTATGTTTTCTTTGGTAAGACGAAGGTGGCCCCTGGAATATCACTAAATTAGATGGGGACTAAATCAAGTACAAATTAGGGCACTAGATAATATGCAATCAGCTATGAAACTGGAGATGTGGCAGGCTCCTCTGTAAGAAGGGGCTAGTGACAGAAGCCCCCTCAGAGGAGTGGTCTTGGCATTAACCAAGATTAGTCCTCTGACTACAGAGAAGGCCTCAGTGCATAGTAGCCATGGTGAGATGGCAATGTAGTGACAATCTTATCCTCACTGGAACCCTCAGAGTCCTTCTCACAAATGACATTTCTTTACCTCTCAGGGAGTTTCCAGGGAGGGCAAACAGGGAATCCAACTATAAAATCTTTCTTTCACAAGACACACTTACTTCTGGAAAAAGAGATGTATAGTAGCCAGGAAGGATAGAGCAAGAATTACAGACTGCTTCTATTTTTTTTTTTTGTTTTTTATTTCCCCAGGCAATGCAGGGGAGGGGAGGTAAGTTTTTAACAAGATTTCCATGGTAGGGCTAAGTTATCTTCCAAAGACCTTGTGCTGGCCCCTGAGAAGGGAAAGTGTGAACCGGAGGAGCGATTGGAAAGATGCCTAGAAAACAGAAAGGTGGCCCAGGAGGCGGGAGACTCCCAGGGGGCACTGATGAGCTTCAATAGGACGCGGTGGGGTTGGGGTGGGGAAAGGGCCTGCACTTGCAGGGTTGGATGCTTCTGGCCCAAATGTGATCCGCAAAGGGAATGCTCAAGAGACACTGGTGACATAGAAAGCATTGACCTCACCACAGCAAGAACACAACGAAAGCCATCCATCCCACTACAAGCGGCAGAACTCAAGCAAAGCTGGAAACTCCGCAGCGGCCTGCCGAGGCTAGTTACTTGGGCCACCAGGTTGGCATCGCATCCTGTTTTTGTCTTGTCGAATAAGGAAGCCCATTATTACTAACATGTGCTGCGAGAGTTCATTAGCAGGGAGGGTTCCCGGAGGACTGGCACAAACCATGTGATCCCATTTCTCCCAATGAATATTTATAAGCAGACCATGTTCAAGTCTACTTATTCTATCTCCCTCCCCCCCTTCTTTTTTCTTTTATGGAAGGTTTTCAGTTTTATGTCTGAGGCTTTTTAAAGCAAGACTAATTAGGGCTTTTTTCCCCCTTTTTTTCTCCCCTCTTTATTCAGTTGTGCAATAGCAACAGCTGTTGTTTTTTGTGCCTCATTTGGCACTCAAGTAAAAACAGCAACTTTTTGTTTATAATCATAACAGATGTGAATAAAATCAAAAGCTGTCTACAACAGAGAAGGGAGGACAGGCCCTGAATATATAGATTTATATATTTGTTTTCATTCATGAGAAGGTATTGAATAAGTTTGACATTTTCCCCAAACGCATAAAACCTTGAAAGGTTTCAAGTTGCTGAGGTGAATTCAATGAAGCTCAGGCCCTGGAAGATAATGGTTTCTTTATTCAGTGTGCTGGAACTACGGGGTTTTGAAAAAAGATATTTCCATAAGGACGCTATTTCCTTTTGAGGCTACAATGGAAGCCAGGGTTAGAGAGAAAAAACTTCAGCAAAGAAACCAGGCGATGCTGGTAGGCAGGAGAAAGCCCTGGGGGAGTTTATTAATAAACAACCACATATTACTTTGAATGGCTATTAGAAATCTCTGATTTGAGAGCGGAAAGGAAGAAAAGGCAAAAGATGGCTATGATGTTATACAAAAAACACAGTTAAAGAAAACAAGGAAGCAGGTCTGACAAGTAGCTGGAGAAATTAAAAAACCAAACCAGCAGAAGTCAGTAGAAATCAGAGCTGGGAGAGGAGCAAGGCAGCAGCTATTTGCATGCAAGGGTAGAATCTGCAGAAAAGAGGAAGAGAGCTTTGCAAGGTGCACTTGGCTATCTCAGGGCATGACAGCTTTGGGGGATCCGGACTCTGTGTTCAGAGGCAGCCTGAGACCACGCCACACACAGGACATTTCAAGACACTAAAGCGAAGAGAAAGTCAACCTGCATTCCGCACATACCTGAGGGCAGCTGCTGATGGGAAGGCATTGCTTCTTGCGACACTCTGTCTTGCCTTTCACACAGGCACAGATGGTACAATTGACAGATGACCACATCTCTCCATCCTGCAGGAGAGAGCACAGGATTCTGCCATCAGCTGGAGGCTGACAGAAGTGGAGCCAACAAGCTGCAACTTCTCCCTGGAGGAAAGGCTTGCTTACCCCGGGTGAGGGATGCTATGGTTAGACTAAATGACTCAGAGGTGTCAATCTAAACCCGAGTGGACATACGTGTTTACATGTGCATGTGTTCTCCCTCCAGGATCGAAAAAGAATTCTCATGTGCTTAACCAAGCCATGCTAATGCCTCGTTCCTCATGCACTGTTCACTTAGTCTCAACCCTAGGAGACAAACACGCAGAAAATTTCATACCTGATTCATTCACATAAATCTCATTTTCCCCTGTTGATAGGACTAAAATATTTAAGCCATTCCAGGCACCAACAGTTAATTGTGATGTACAGAGGAGGCTAACTACCAGATATGTCACAGTTCTGGACTACACAGGCCACACACAGCGCCCAGACATACTCCTGATGGACAAGCCATCCAAACATAGGGAGCCCGGACAGAAGACTCAAAGAGCCACGCACATCCTGTCTCTGCCTATCTGGTACTTTCCTCTCACAAAGCAGGGCTGGGGACACATTTCCTAAACTAAACCCCTGATTGGACAGAAAGAGTTATTTGAGGAACTTTTCTGGCTCATCATATTTATAGTCCGCAATTGCCAAATACTCTGCCACACAAAGCCCTGGGGTCTCGAGAGAACAGGCAGGGACATGTATCTGTGTGCGGCTAAAACTGTCACAGACAACAGAGCTGGGCCTAAAAGCAAAACAAGGATTTCTTCCTGGGCTCGAGGAACTCAGTGGCAGATTTTGTTAAAAACAGAGAAATAAGGTCACATCATTGATGACTTCCCCTCCTTCCCTCCCTCGCTTTCTGAAGCTGTTTGAAGGACTGCCTACCCTCTAGTGCCTTTCAGGAGAGAAAGATCTAACTCTAACTCTCCGAAACAGTCACCTAACTTTTCTAAGTCCTTTGAGTATACATTTCTAGGACTCCTAGGTGTCTCTATAAATTATGTCACTCATAAAGTTCCTCAATCAATTAGAGGAATCTTTTCACAAGGTGACATCATACACCACACCTTCATAAGAGTGAGTCTATTCCATCTGGGTGCTCTGGTGATAGAGAGTGTCTTTAGTTAAGGAGGGCATATGAGAGGCTCAAAAGCCAGGTAAAAATATAATACACATGTGTCCCCCTTCATTGGGCCTGACACATGTCTTCCTGCTGATTCCACCAGCCCCAAGACCTCTCCATCTCGCTATGCCAGTGTGCTGGGAAGTCGAGCTCAGTGCAAAATGCCTGCGGACCCCTCACATCTGGCTTGATTCTGAGGACCTCAATTCTCATGGGCATCAAAAGGTGACACCTTCAGCTACAGAATGACTCCCTCCACCCCTGGGAGTTAGACAAAGCCAACAATCTACATTCTGAGGTTTAAATGGTCATTGCTTAGCTCCCCACTTGGGATCCTCAGAAAATAATGTAAAACACACATATGGGGAAGATACAACCCATTAAGTTCAGCGGAACAGAGATCTCTGGCCTGTCCTCAGCTACTCGCTGGCCATGTATACCATGAGTATCCTCACCTGAACACCTTTTATATGACAAATTTCTCCTTGGAAAGGTAGCTTTGTGGAAAAGCTTCTAATAGTATCACCTATATAGATCCATCAAGATACTGACAAGGGTCATAAACTTGATGAGGGTCACTGAGTATCTCTCAGTGGATGAGGTACTCTCAGGCATCTGGCCACCCACAAGCACAATATCCACAGGGCATCTCAGCACAACCCAATTGCTGGCTGACCACATTTGGAAAATACAGTAATATTTTACAGGTTGAAAATGATTCAGCAAAAATATAGCCAAAGAAAAACCTCTTTCAAAAAGTTGCTCTCTGTCCCTCTCTGCACTTGATTCTAAATATACATAATACTTTTATGTAAATAAATACATTGCATATATGCACACACAATGCACATGTAGATATAAATTACGGGATAATGCAATCTACATTCTGGAGCTTTCCAACAATCAATCTAGTAGTCCACAAGCTCATCTCATGACATACCCGGAAAATCTTGTTGCCAAACTTGCACACTTTGACGTCTTCCAGGGGCACTTGTAGAATGCACTCTTCACAACAGCCCTCCTCACCTCTGTCACAGCTACCAGGATGGGAGCACTTCTTCTTACATACCACAGTAGAGTCCTGAGGGCCCAAAAGCAAACCAGAAATTAAAAATAACCTTTACCTCCACCAAATATCCTGTCTGCCCTTCCTTTAACAACCCATGACTAACCATTTCAAAATATATTCTGCAGGTACCATATTTTAATTTATTGCAATAAATCTTTCATTCACTTCAAAATGTTGTTGCTCAAGTATCTGGACTAGACTGTAATGACACTATGGAGATGAAAGCATACAATGCCCACCTCCCAGGGGTTCAGCACTTCTTACTCAAAAGACTGATGACCTTGTGCCAGCCATCACGGGGCAGGAAAGCCCAGCTCACAGTGGGCCCACCAGTTTCCTTCTTCCCACCCTGTGCCTCACTCACATCCTGCATTAGCAGTGCTCTCTTGGGTCTCCTCCAAGGCTTTATGGAGTTTAACATAAAGGCAGGATATCCTTGATCAAAGAGTTAAAATTATGTGGTTGTAATGTACCACCACAAGATGAAATTCCCTAAAGGTGCTCTGTGTTCAAGAAGGAACTGAATGAACAATTTCAAAACTGGACCTGGGTTCTAGAGCTCTACCGCAAAAAGGTGACCTTAGACCAGGTAGGTCACTTAAAAGTTATCTACAACTTAAAGAAGCATACTTCATTTCTAAAGAAGCGCTATTCCACCAATTACTTCTCAAGTTCACCATGCATCTTAAATTTAAAGTACCTAGTACATGGAAATTATTACATTGTAACACCAAAACTGGAAAAAATTCTTGTCCAACTACATGTCCTGATTTCTTGTTTTAAAAACATGGGCATTCACTAGCTCTCACATAATGCATACTTCACTGTAGATCTGCATGCTTTCATGATATGTACTATATGAAGACTGACAAGTTCACAGACTTGCCACCATATGCTAATGTTGGCAGCACTGTACAAACAACTTGGTAAGGTTTCATAACCTTGGCATATCAGTGTCTCACAGCTGTGTTTGTGTCAACATATGGCAGTATCTTGCTGAGTGGTGTTCACTATTGTTTCATGTTTTTGTGTGTCATCTCAAAAATATCAAAGCTTGAATTAGAGTAACAAATGAACATTACATTTCCTGTTAAACTCAGTAAAGAGTGGAAGTGAAATGAGGAACATGTTAGCCCAAGGTTATGGGGATAATGCCAAGAAGAAAATAGCAGTGTACAAATGGATTAAATATTTTTCTGAGGAGAGAGAAAGCTTCATTAATGAAAAGTGGTCAGGGTAGCCAGTAATGAGCATTGCAATGAAAACATTGCAAAAATTAATCAAATTGTGTGTCAAAATAATGGCTAGACTCTGAGAAGCATAGCAGACCAAGCAAATGTGGATAGAAAAACAGGAAAATCTTAACTGAAAATCTTGGCATTGAGAAATGTGTGGCTCTTGCACCAGGACAGGGCACCAGCTCACACAGCACTGTCTCTGAGGGAGGTTTTATCCATTAAACAAATAACTGAATTGGAACACCCTCCCTACTCACCTGATATGACCCTCAGTGACTTTCTTCTTTACCCAGAGATAAAGGAAATATTGAAAAGAAGACATTTTGATGACATTCAGGACATCAAGGGTAATACAATGACAGCGCTGATGGCCATTCCATAAAGAGACTTCCAAAATTGGTGGCATCAGTGCAGAGCTGGCATCAGTGCAGAGCTTCCCAAGGGCAATACTTAGAAGGTGACCACAGTGATATTCAGCAATAAGGTGTGTAGCACTTTTTCTAAGATGAGGTTGCAAACTTAATTGCCAAACCTCAAGTCAATCTCATTAGACTGCAGTGTCTAGCACTGGGTTAAGCAATGAGAATACAGAAATGGATGAAAGTACTTCTCTCCTAAAGGGGCTCACACTGTAAGAAGGGAGATACCCATACAAAGAAATAAATTCCAATAGAATGTGATAAACAGTGGTTGTAAAGGTGGACAGATAGCAAAGAAGGAAAAATTACCTAGGAAAGCCTCTCTGGACAAGGAGACCTTGAGCTAGGAAGTTGTGAATGAGGACATGTTCGATGATCAAATTTAAAGATGATAACACCGCAGGTAAAGGAATCATCAAATTTCAAGGCACAAAGATCTGAAACCATACTGCATTTAGCAAATTAAACAACTGATTCTTGAACAACTTGTGTTTGAACTGCACAGGTCCACTTACACGTAGATTGTGTTCAACGAGAGTTACAAGAAGTGTGCCTGCCTCTCCCACCTCCTCCTCCACCTCCTCCACCTGCCACCTCTTTCTTCTCCTTCTTATTAGGTTACTCAGCATGAAAATGACAAAGACAAAGACCTTTAGTATGACCCAGTTCCACTTAGTGAGTAGTAAATATATTTTCTCTTCCTTATAATTTTCTTAATAATAATTTTTGTCTCTAGCTTACTTTATTGCAGGAATATAGTATAGTGTATGTATAACATACAAAAACATGTGTTGATTGACTGTTTAAGGCATCAGTAAGGCTTCCAGTCAACAGTAGAATATTAGTAGTTAAGTTTTGGGGGAAGTCAAAGTTATACATGAATTTGCAACTGTGCAGGGGAGTTGATCCCCTTAATTACTGCACCATGCCAGGGACAACTGCATTAAACAGTTCCCTGCATCAGCCATGGAAATCATAAGGTGCATTGGATAGGAATGCTAAAGAGAGAAGCTATAAGGGAAAATAATGCTGATTACCCCAAATGATTGCAGCTTGATTTCTCAAACCTCATGAATTCATACTCTAATACTCTGATTAAATAATCTCTTGGAGGAAAAGTGTTCATTGCACTACTTGCTAAGCACTGGGATATACTGCCTAATCATCTCTCAAAGAATCCATGAACCAACGAACTCCATGTATAACTAACTCTCATTCACAAAATGCCCTTGCTTTCTGGCAGTCAAGAGAATTAGGAAAGTGATGTGTTTTTATCAAAGGTTCAGCAACCCCCAAAGGAAGCTATAATCTGTGAAATTCTTAGTGGAAAAGAAAAGTCTAAGGACAGAGGCTAAGGCAAAAAGAAGGAGTTGTTATATGTTAAACAGAGGATAACAACGACAGAAGGAAGGGGCCTCGGGAAAATATTTTCAAATTTAGGGATTACCGTGTTCAGTACTTCAGGGAACAGACAGTTCAGCCCTGACACAGTCACCCCCTGAAATGGTGCATGCTACTTAACTAAGCATGCCTCGAGCCATCAGGAACTGCTGAACTCTAATCCTAGCTACTGACTCATACATGACACTGAAGAAAGATCCTCTCTTTCCCTCTCTAGGCCTTTAACTATTAAACAAAACAACAATAACCATCATGACCAAAATGTATTTTAAACTGGTGTCACACAGATGGGATTCATTAGCTCACTAATGAATAACATAAAGTCCTCCATGATAAGAGCTTCTTTTCTTGGTTTCAAAAATAGACCACTGCATAAGTACAGTCTATGAATGTGTGATGTGTGCCTTTTAAAATTCTGGAGCTGTAGTTAGCTGAAATTCTTCTTAGCCAGTAATTAGACTTCCAGTTGCCTTTGGAAAAAACTGAGCAGTGCCTCAAGTAAGACTTGGCACAATGAACAACATATAAATACTCTCTTTCCAAACTACAAGCTTTATCTTTGTGATGAGCTGCAAATCCAGGCTTTTCTTTTCTCTTGAATGTGATTAAAGCCATTTTTATTGCCAGGTGTGTTGCAGAATTCATCTTGGAAAATTATGAGCCAGGAAATACAGCCACATGCAGTTAGTTGTCTGATTTTGGAAAATCCTCAGAAAAGCCTCTCAGAGTTTGGTTTTCACCACCAGGATCTAACTTGTGGGTCCCTAAAAGACAGTGAGTTTTACTGTGGGTCCTCTCCATGAACTTCTTCATGACCTTAAGTATAACATTACTTGTAAAATAGCATCAATAATATCTCCCAGTAAAAAATAGCACACCATCACCTTTAGCTATGTTAAAACTAAAACTCAAATTCCTACATTGTTGGACTACAGCCTTTCAGAGCCACCTTACCCTGCAGGAACACGCTGTGCAGTTATCATAGAGAAATGAAGATCCATTGTCATAAACGTCACTCCGAAAGAGGCAGCTCCCAAAAGGAAGGTCAAACACTTTCCTCTGACCTACAGGGAAGAGACGGCTCAGTTTAAGTAAGACAGAACCAGACATGTCCCATTTTGGTACCAGCAATCACATCACAGGAGGGTTAAACATTCCCATGACACCAAGTAAGGGAAACCCATGCACCAAAATAGAACCTTGGGTCAGATGTGCCCAAAGGCTCTCCAGAGGTCATCAATTCAGACAACCATTGTTACAAAGGATTTGATTCCACAACGAACTTTTAAAGTTCAACAAATCTACTATGCATCCACTATAGTAAACCAAGATAATAAAGACATAAGCCCCCCTCATGAAGCTCACTGTCTAGTGGGAAGGTAAACTGTAAAAGAAAGATCATTTCAATACTATGGTATGGTAACTTCTAGAAAGAAGCCATCCTGGAAACTGTGGTGACAGAGAGTCAGCAAAGATGTTGTGGAAGACACAACACAAGAGATGTATCTTAAAGAACAAGTGAAATTATTGTATCTAAAAACTGGATATTGGCAGGGAGGGTGGGTGAAGGTATGAAGAGTCAAGATATCCCAAGGACTAGAATGAGCAAAAAGGAAAATGAATAAAATAATGAAATACTATCACTACTGGCTAAATGTCTGTGTCCCCACCAAATTCCTGTGTTGAAACCTAATCGCTGATACACTGGTATCAGGAGATGAGGCCTTTGAGACAAGATTAGGAAAAGGGAGCAAAGCCCTCATGAATTAGAAAAATTCCTTTAGTTAACAAGGTCTCAGAGAGACCCCCTCATTCCTTTCACCACAGCAAGAAGAACTCATCTATGAGACAGAAAATGGAACCTCATTGGATACCAAGCCTGCCAGCACCTTGATCTTGAACTTACCCACCTTTGGAACTGTGAAAAATAAATTTCTATTGTTTAAAAGCTATACAGTTTATGGTATTTTGTTAGAGCAACATGAACAGACTAAAATAGCATTTCAGTTAAGAAATTACATAAAGAGGGGTGCTAACTCAAAGTGAATGTAGAAGCAGAATGCAACTCTCCCTGTTAAGTGTCCAGGCTCTCATAGGCAGCACCATCTCTGTACAATTACAGAGGATTGTAATTGTACAATCCTTCCCTGACTTGAGGATTGTGTTGGCAACCACAAAGACAATCCCAAAGAAACAGTATTAATTCAATTTTCTCCTTTCTTATAGTATTTCAGTTTCTACTCCTTAAAACATCTCTAAAATTTCACTTTAATTAAGGACCAAGTTAAAAAGCCAAAGATCCATGTTTATCGATCAAATCTCCATTCATACTCCTTTTTTTCTTGTGAAAAGATTAATTGCAATCTTTGTGTATCAGTAGGCCTGATGAAATGCTGAAAATACCTACAAACACATACTAATGGTAAGAGTCAACAAAAAATGCTATCTTATTAATAGAGTCAATCTCAAGGCCAAGATACTGTCTAGAGCAGAACCAAGTCACTGGTTTGATTCTCACCCCAAGGAGCAAATGGGCTGGTGCTCGAAAAACAACAGTGAGTTATGATTGAGTCATCTTTGGACTCCCTTGTGACCTTGAACGTGTATGATTTCTCCAGTCCTCTCAGACTTCACTCATAAAGAAAATGGCATCAACAACGCCACCTCACCATATCACCACCTCTATCCAGTGTTAATATCAAAGTATACAACCAAAAATTCTGTCATGGTAAGGCAAATTTATCATAATGACTGGTAATATCCCAACTAACACAGGTATTCTTGTGTGCACACTCAGGTCCTGGGTTACTTGAAGTTTCTGAGAATTTACAAAATAAACTAGAAGATTATCTGCAAAATTAAAAAAAAAAAAATTCATCCTTTCCCTAAATATTCCTCTAGGGCAGTGGTTCTCAATCTTCCTAATGCCGCGGCCCTTTAATACAGTTTCTGTGGGTCACGACCCACAGGTTGAGAACCGCTGCTCTAGGGAATCCCTCTAGGATTACCCTGAAGTGTCAGAAAACTCTGTGCAGCCTGACTCACATGGACTTGGCCCATCCCATTATGGTCACTTCTGTACAATCACACATTAGTTTTAGGACCTTATAGTATAAGAAAAATCACTAAGCAGTTAATTATTTCTTTGTTTCCTCTCGGTAACAAAGGTAAAGTCATTTTTCACTACTTTAAATATCCTTTTTTTAATCAATCCATCAGAGACATATTTCTGCCCTTTAAGAATTAAAAATAGCAGGCCAGGCATGGTAGCTCATGCCTGTAATCCTAGCACTCTGGGAGGCCGAGGCGGGTGAATTGCTTGAGTTGGTGAGTTTGAAGCCAGCCTGAACAAGAGCAAGACCCTGTCTCTAAAACTAGCCAAGCATTGTAATGGGAGCCTATAGTCCCAGCTACTTGAGAGGCTAAAGTGAAAGGATCATTTGAGGCCAAAAGTTTGAGGTTGCTGTGAGCTATGATGCCCTAGTACTCTACTGAGGGTGACAAAGTGAGACTGTCTAAAAAAAAAAAAACAAACATTTAATTAAAAATAGCCGTGCCTTAGTCGATTTTTGTGTGTGATAACCTGGTTTGCCTTTTTACCATCTTTTATCTACATGTGCCTCATGTAGTTTGCAAGTGACCTCAAATCCTTTCCAGCAAAAGGCAGTGGATAAATAAATACAGAGCTCTACATAGATGCTTCCTTCTCCACCAATCAAAAGACATCATCTTCAGGGCTGAGCACCACATTGCCTCCGCAGAGGCCCTTTCTCCACTCTGAAAAAATGATTCCTCCGTGTCTTTCCACAGCCTGCTGCTTTCACTACCATCATAATGCTCAAATTGTCATATGGGTGCCTGGCTGTCTGGATCTATCAATCAACTGATTTTTCAATCAACCGATAAACTTTTCAACATGTTTATCCTCCTAAACAAATGTGACCAGTGGCTTAAATCATCCTTCACTAAAATGTATACTTTTTTTAAAATTGTGGAAACAAAGCTTTTAGCACAAAGAATGACATTTATTACATCCCCCTAATAAGTGGCAGATAAGTATTACCTTTATTTGAAGTGATGTAATTCAAATCTGATACTGAGCTATGTCACTGTGAGAGGTGTGCTGGGTGCTGCTCTGTGTACACTGATCTCTGATGAGTTCTTTATTGAAAATGAGGAGAGCAAGAAAGGATTGTTGTAATGCAAAAGGCAGAGATATGTCATGTGGATAAATCCTGGTCAAGGGAAACTTTAAGAGCAAATCAGCAACCACTCAGCCAAAGATCTAATTAGATGAAGATTTCAGACTCAAGAAAGCACCTTCTGTATCAGAATGTTTATTGCAGCCCAATTCATAATTGCCAGGTCATGGAAGAAGCCCAAGTGCCCATCGATCCACGAATGGATCAACAAACTGTGGTATATGTACACCATGTAATACTATGCAGCCATAAAGAAAGATGGAGACTTTACGTCCTTCATGTTCACATGGATGGAGCTGGAAAATGTTCTTAGCAAAGTATCACAGGAATGGAAGAAAAAGGATCCAATGTACACACACCTAATATGAAATTAATTTAAACCTTTTTATATGAAAACTATAACCTAATAACAACCTAAGGATATGGGGAGGGGGGAGGGAGGGGGGAGAGGGGGGAGGGAGAGGGATTCGAGGGTTCACTTCTGTGGTTCATCTTGCAAGGGTACAAGTGAATCTTTCTATGAGTAGAATATGAATGTTTTGACATAATAATTAAGAAAGTTACATGAAGGCTATGTTAACCAGCTTGATGGAAGTGTCTTGAATTGTGTGTGAAAACACCACACTGTACCCCCAAAGTGCATCAATGTACACAGTTACCATTCAATAAAAAATAAATAAATAAATAAATAAAATAAATTTAAAAAAAAAGAAAGCACCTTCGTGTTTGCTTTTTTTTTTTTTTGTCTTGTGGGGGAGGGAGGGGGTATATGTTTCTTTTGACCCCCAAAGGACATAAACTCTTACTTTCATCCCAAAGTCCTCATGGCCCAACATAAGATAAAACTTTCGAGGGAGTGGTTCAGAGACTCTGTACAACCTGATTAAACCCATGTGTACATCTTTCTGCTGGGTTTTAACCCAACCAAAAAGGTCTAATTTGGAGGAATTATAATTTTCAAGTTTCTCAAAACTTAGTGTTCCTTTTATAGTCTGTTTTATGACCACAATGAACAGAAAAACCTGCATTCAATACAATTGCCATTGCTCATGTGGGAAACTTTTGAGCTGGTACTGGCTTCAAAGCACTAATCAAGCCTGCTTATCTTCGGGTCCAGGCCGAACTGCCACCTCCTCTGGGAGCACCTTCCCATTTAGGTGGGCCATTGCTTCCACATGACATGCAATGCGATGATTTGTGCCACCTGAGCTGGCTAATTTTATCACGCATTGGCAACCTGAGAAGTCTAAGTGGTAATATCTTTAATCAGGAGAGTCTAAACAATTCTCCTTCATTCTATTTCACCTTTACTTTAAAAGTGTGCGTGTACATGTAGCGGGAAGACAAACGTTCTTAGATGAAGTTAGCAGTAAAATTCCTCAAAGAGGAGAAGACCACCTTAGTTTAACAAAATACTTTTATTTGCCAATTTAGTCTTTTAAAAAAAGTCTGAGTATAGCTATAGTAATTTTGAAATGAAAAAATAAATCAACAGGATGGTTTTAGAGTTGGAGAAAGGGAACGTTGAAATGAAGGGGAGAGGATTCAAGGCAAGACCTGAGCAGGATCTGACGGGAAACTGGAGCGCAAATAGAAGAGATAACCAGTGAACCGCTCCCATAGCCAAACAACTAAGACCCTTTATGAGCAAGGGACCTTAACATTGCATTTCATCTTGTTCTCTGAGCTTCTTTGTAAAATTATCAGCCTCGTGGGCTCCAGACCTTCCGTAAAATCTGCTGCACAAGCCTGGATTCGGTGGCACCACAGCATGTGAAAAGCCTGGAGGGGAGAGGTCCCTACAAGAACAGAATGATACTTTAAAAATAATAAAGCAGAGATCAAGAGACTCAGCAGCAGTAGAAACACTAAGACAGAGGAGATTATGGAAAATATTAGCCCCGGAAATCATTAAGAAGCTGGCATGTGAGTTAGTCAAAAAAGTCTCATGCTCCAGAGACTCCCCATCACAGGCTGTCCCCTTTCAGTTGGCAATGTACATGCCGCCCTCCTGTCTCACCAGGAAGGTGAGCTGAGGGGTCATGCAGACTCGTGTTGAGATGCCAAATCTGTGACTCTGGTTGTGCTGCCTTCTAGGGATCCACCTTCTTCTCAGCACAATGACACTCATAATAGCACCTGCATCACATGTAAGTATTGCACATCCAGTACCTGCATTTCACAGATTCTTGAGAACAAGCACATAAAGTGTTTCCCACAGTGCCCAGGATTTATTAAGTGTGCAGTAAGAAAAAGCTCCTGCTCTCTTTTTGTCAGATGTGACTCATTGTTTCTTTCCAAAACTTATTTTAGGACACGTGATCCTCCTGCATATTTCCATAAGTCACACTCATCAATATTCCTCCATGTGTTCATTTCAAATGCCTTTTATGTTCCTACCAATAGTCCTAGGCCAAATCCCAAATAGTTTCTTCAATATTCTTTTTACACAAGGAGGCATTTTCTCCATGTCATCTGGTATAGTGGGTTAGACACAAGGGGCACAAGAGAAGCTCCTGTAGAGGCCTCGGGTAAGAGCCAAGCCCTGTATACACCTTCTTCTCATTTAACTAGAAGGAGTGGTGTCTGTAACAAGACTGGAAATGGGACAACTCAAGAACCACAAGATAACAATGTCGATAAACACTCTCAGCAGAAACTCCTAAAAGAAATTACATTGTTCTTTAATCTGAAAATAGTCACTCACCCAAACATTTGGGGCAGCACTGTCCTGGGGGTATGTGACTAAGGTGCTTGGGACAGGAGAGAATGGGACAGACTTCTCTCACACACTGTGTCCTGCCTCCCTAAGAAAAGAGAGAAAAAAAAAGCACATTTAGAAAAGTAAGTGCATACAGACTGTACAACCGAGATTCCTGAAACAAACCTACGGCCCTTCCCTAGAATGGGGTTCCTGGGCTGACTGCGCAGGGCCCGGAATTTCTCCCAAGCTATGGGCTACACAGTCACAAGTGCACAAGAAACTGCCCTGAACAAGAGGATTACAGACAGCATCACTTTCCTGATCCTTGCTCGCCACCACCTTTCTTTTCCTTTTTCCTTTTCAGAACCAGCTTTGGAATAGTTCTAGGGCAATCAACTGTCTCGATTTCCCTGGCATTTGAGTCTTTGAGTACCAAAACCATGAAATTTTCCTTCAAACCAGGATGAGTTGGCCACCCTGCTAGGCCACTGCCTCTCTTTCCACCCCAGTAAATCAGCATTTAATGAGACTCCTCCTCCTCTTTCAGAACCCTTCTCCTTCCGTAGGTTCTGCAGACATCATCTAGGAAGCTTCTCTTTCTGCCAACAATTAGAAGGTGTTGCTAGAATAGCTCCATGAGATTCTGGTTAGAAAGAGTGGCTCATCTGCTGAAAGGGATATATTGAAAGCCCACATTCAGAAGAACCATTTTGCTGAATTTACCAAGCTGACCCAGTGTGTTTCCATTAATTAATCATAAAGGTATGAGAATTGGTACCGGAAAAACTGGGAATGCCTCAGAGGCCTATGGCAGTTGTTCTGATACTCATTACTCCCCTTTCTTAACCTACAGAATGAATGGATGGATCTGGAGAGTGAGCGGTTCCCCCTGTTCTCTGCCTGTCAGATCTTGCTACTCTGCGGAATACAAACATGTACCCAGTAGACTCCCCCCTCCTAACCCTTTCCAGGGACACCTGCTTTTCCAGCCTTGTGAAATTGTAAGTGTATATTTAGAAAGCAGGGGCAGAAGAAAGAAAAATGACTTTCTAGTCTATTTACATTCAACAAACTTGCAAGGATGATGGAAAAACTATTCTGGGCAGTATGCATTCCCATGAAACTTTATGAGTAATTAAGGAATTTTTCTCTCTTCAGAAAAATCAGTAAATTTGGTAAATAGATCACTAGGCAAATGGAATTTCAATGGATCAGCTCCTTGGGGAGTTGAGCTAGAAACCAAACCAGTTGACCATCAGGTACTCCTTGTCTTGAGCACAGAATTTATATCTCAAGAGGCCTCAGGAAATGAGGAACTCAGGGCACAAAAAGCCTTGGCAGCCTCCCGCTCCCCATTCCTCAAGATTCAACTTGAGGAATTTCCTCACACTTCCCACACCACTCTGGGCATTCACAGCAGACATCAGCCTCAGCCATCCATCGGATCCTGCTCAGTCCCATCCTAGCCTACTGCTGTCACCCACTGCTTTGTTTTCTTTCCCTGTTCTCGCTATTTTTATTATTACAGTTTATTTTTTAGTGGTGAGGATGGATGAAAAGGGGAGGGCATACTGTATGTCTTTTTAAATATTTGTTATTTTTAAGCCTCTTTAATGTTGGACTCTTCCCCAAACCAATAGAAAACATGACAAAAATACCACAAAAAGCTCTTCTGTTGTTTTTACATTATTTCCAGATCAGCAAGAATCACTAAAAATCTCCCAAGAATTCCAGGCTGTTCTGAGATTCCTCACTCAACTCTGCATAATCTTAAATTTAGGGACCTTTCATCGGTTCAGAGGTATGTAACCTAAGTCTCTGCCTGACCCTGAGGTCACTTCCGACTTACACACAAAACACAAAAGTCAAATCTAGAGGAAGGACGCAAAGATGCTGCCCTTAGCTTTTCATTTCAAAGAAAATCATCTGTGAGCAACTTCCTAAAATCCAAAGCCCAAGGCCACACATTTCTTCCAGCTACCAGTGTCTTGGCTTCCCTTGGGTACACAGAGAATGCATTCTTTTCATGATATTCTCTGTTCTTGTTGAATCAGCATCTATTTTTCAAGCATATTTTAAAATTAAAATTTTAAGAATAATTGCATAATTGGGTGGTGCCTGTAGCTCAAAGGAGTACGGCGCCGGCCCCATATGCCAGAGGTGGCGGGTTCAAACCCAGCCCCAGCCAAAAACTGCAAAAAAATTTTAAAAAAATTGCATAATTGCCAAAGAGTTAATTTGTCCAACACTCTGGAAAGCTGGCAAAGGTTTATGTGTACTCCAATAATTTTCTTTACAGTAAGGTCAAAGAGCAAATTTTGCATACATAATACAACTGCAAGTTTGTGTTTCCCAAGAGTCTGTTAAAAGTAACTTGAACTCCATTCTGGATTTGCTGGTTTAGTCAAGTTTTATTTTGTTTGGGTTGCAATGATAGGGCATAGCCCAAGTCCAGAGGCTGCATTCCAATTAATGCCTCCAAAGAAAGTCCAAGCCCTTCCTAGGAACACAGTTGCAGCTCACAACCTGCTACTATGATTTCAATTCAGCAGGGACTCTGGCTAGACTCTAATCTGGGGCTATGCTCTCAGTTAAAAACGTTAAAATAGCAGAAGTAAACATTTTTGTTTCTAAAACTGAACAAATTCCTACTGTAACTGCACCAACACAGGCTCTATCACATTATCACGCTAGCTTTCTCATTGGGATTCCCTGCCTCCGCTGTCTTCTAGTAATCCATCCTGTAAGGTTCAGCACATCCAGGACCCCTCTCTGACAGAGTCAAATGGAGGGACCCACCCAAATAGAGCAGACTCACCCAAATAGAATCAACGCACCCAAATAGAATGCCCTACCAGGTAAAAGAGGATGTGCCAACTCCTACCCTTCCAACCCTTTAAATTTCCATCCATATTAACCCATGTGCTGACTTCCTTCTCCAGCTCAGGTCACCTGCACCTGGGTGGAAATAAAAGCTGATGTTGCCATATAGAACCTGGACTCTCTTTTATTTCACGTTCCAGAATAATCTTCTATTTTCAGTCTTTGACCTCTCATTTTGGGTCAAACCATCCCTCCCCGAGCCATCTGAACCTCCATTGTCTTCTTTCGACCCAGCAGAAAACCCACTGTCTTCTGCCCTCCACAGTCCCTCCTCTCTCAACCTCATTCCTATCTGCAGAATTCCATTCCATCCCTCCTGCCCCTGACCTGCCTTCCACTGCACATGGTAGAGAGAGAAAAGATGGCAGAATGGGAGAGAAAAGAAAATTCCCCCAGGGCCCTCAGACACCCCAGCAAGATCTCACAGATCTGGCCTTTGAGGAGGGCAGCACCTCTCAGAGCTCCAGTTAGTGCCCTCCGCCATTAATCAAAACCTGGCTACTTCTCAAAAATCCTCTGGGCAGTCCAAAAAAGGAAAATTCCCCCCAGACCATGTCTTAAATGCAGTAGACCGGGACACTGGGCAAAGCAATGCCCAAATCCAAACCTTGCCCCCCAAACCGTGCCCAGCCTGTGGAGGCCCTCACTGGAAGTCTGACTGCCCAGGTCCTTCCAAGGCTCTGGTTTGCAGCCACTCCCCAACCTCCTGGGCCTAGCTGCAGAAGAGTGACGATCCCAGAAATCAGGATGCCCTCTGGACACTGTCCTGGAAAATTAAACTCCGGGTAATTTTGCTAGTGGAAGGTAAGCCCATCTCTTTTCTAATAAACAAGGGAGCAACTTTTTTCATGCTGCACTTGTAAAAGTCCTCTAAAACAAACAGAGATCTCAGTGGTGTGAATTAATGGTAATTTACTGTGCCTCAGGCTACTACCCCTCATGGTGCTGGAATCTTGACCTCCTTGGTTATTTCCTACATTAGGGCCACTAATTATGATTTTTCTCATTCTCAATTTCTGACCAGTAATTCTTCATCTCATCTCCTGATTTATTACCAGGCAGTCACCCCAAAAAAACAACCACTCATATCCTCACCCAATGTGGATATCAACCAGTTGAAACTGAAGACACAAGCATGTTCCTGTAAACACCATTTCCTTCCCTCTCCCATTTTCTCATTTTCCTTACAGGCATCCCACTCCACCCTTCGCCCCACAGGAAGCAGTCAAAGAGATACCCCGCTATCATCCTGCCTTCTTATAATAGACTAAAAAGACTGGGATGGCAAAGTCAATTGGAGGGACCTGCGCAAATAGGATGTCCCACCCAGGAAAAGGGGAATGTGCCAACCCCTACCCTTCTGACCCTTTAAATTTCCATCCACCTTAACCCACATGCTGACTTGTGTCTCCAATTCAGCTCACCCACACCTGGGTGCGAATAAAGGCCAGTGTTGCCCACACAGAACCGAGACTCCATTTCCTTCCATTTCATGTTTAGAAACGATCTTTTACTTTTGGTCTCTGACCTCTCACTCTCTAGCGTCTATCCATTAATTCTATTCTTTTATCAAATATTTGTATTAGGCCCATGATACGCTGGAGATACAGAAGTGAATATAATGTACAAAACCCACTCCCTTTAAGGAGATGTTCCCACTGAGCATTCCCCACTCCTGCTAAGGTTGAGGGTGACTTACCCCTGAGTTCAAGATAACGTTTTACCCACTCAGACAAAAAGTTGATACAAAAAAGACTATGTGTTCACCAAAATCTGCTTCCTTTTTCTCTTCACAGAACTATACCGTATTTTCCAAACTCTCCTGAAGGTAAGAATGTCTATAAGATAGAGTTCTGACAATGGGGGTTTGGGGTTGCATGGTTGGATGGAACAATAAAACTTACAGGTCTGACCAACAGGATCTCCTCACACACAACCCTCTGTGCCACTCTCACTTTTTCTCTCTGCTGGACAGATGGCCAGTTAAAGGGAGTAGGCATCATAAACTTCACAAAAAATAGAAAGAGTGGGTCACTACGTGGAAGATACTACCCACCAGATCCCTGCAATGAACTGTGAAATAAGCCACAAATATTGTTCAGTTATTCAAATGTATCGGTTCTTCAAGATACCATTAGTCTACTTTGTCAAGACATCCCATAATTGTCTTTATAATCTTCTATCCCCTATATCTCCAGTGTATTTTATTTCCTTATGACC